ATATATATATATATATATATATATATATATATATATATATATAGCACATAGACGGCAACACGGAAAATGACACTGGGGTACGTCCAACATATCCAGAAAATAGGACACAACAACGTGGAGAAACGGGTAAATGTAAAAAAAAATTAAAAAAATAGGTATATATATTTACTGCATATACATAGTCATATAAATTTATTCAAATACAGAATCACGAAAACAACAACAAAAACAAAATCGGGATTAGGAATATGCATATTAAGTTCTATATACAGTTGAACCTCGATAAATTAATAACCTCGATTAAATAATAGTTTCTCTGGTCCTGACTCGGTGAAAACGTGTTAAATTGTTAACTCGATAATTAGATTATTCGCTAAACTAATAGAATTTCCCTAGTCCCGACTGTATTAATTTATAGAGGTTTAACTGTAGATGGTATAATAACACGAGCGAATAAAAAGCATATATGAAGAAAAACAGAAGGCAATAATATAATGTATATGTATATTTACCCTAATAAACTCGGGGGCAGTTGTCAACTTAAGCTGCAGCAGTTGATCATGAATGGAGGACGGAATTCTAGGCAATACATCGGCAAGTGTGTTACGATATTGATCAGAAGTATCGAACTCGGTAAATCTCGGAACATTATCGAGCCGCAAAATATACGTAAACGGCAATCTATAACACCTCAACGAAACAAGGCTCGTCGCATCACAAATCTCGATAGATTCAACGTTTCTAGCGTGAGATATTTCCAAGTGCTTCAACTTAAGTCCTAAATGGCCGACAATCGCTACATTTCTCAACTTTCGACTTCGTAAAATCGATAGTCTTTCGAGAAAAATAAAATTCGAAATTAAAAGCTCGATATCTCGATCGTCTAAATCAACTGCGCCTAGGGTTAATTCCTTAAGTGACTTTACGCATTGTAGGCTACTCGTATTCGACGGCCAAGGGAAACTATAAGACCCGATTTTAGTAGCATTGATAAAATAAACCATACTTATGTCGATAATTTCGACTTTTCGAGATAACGCAAACTCGATCCATTTCTCGATATTGGCTCCTTCCAAACAAGGCATATGAATGCTGAATTCGGTCAAGATGCCGTCGTTGTTGTACGAATCGAGTACGCGGTCGATGAATTTTACGTAATTGGGGAATTTTATTTCCTGCAAATATTTCATGTACTTCTCGGAGGAGCCTCTCTGTTGTTCGAAGTGAGGGAAGTTGAGACGAGTAGTGTGGGTCCAGAGGCGGCGCCACCGGGTGGAGAGGATGCTTGTGGCGGCGGCTTCGGTCAAGCTCAGCCGTGAGATTATGGATGTGAGAATATCGTCCGGCAATTGGCTGATCATGTCTACACCGTCGATCGCCGCCGCGGGATCAGGCGGCGGGTGGCGGCAGACGGCCTAACATATCAAATTAATTTCAGAAAAAAAAAAAACAGAATCTTTGAGAAAATAATTATGGGATAAATCAGATCAAATTACCTGTTGTTGAAATTTATCTGGTTTGATATTCTTCTTGTTTTTCATTGCTGAGGAAATTAATTTCCTCGTCCTTGTATTCTTCTTCATTGTGATTTCTGTAAACCCAAAAAAAAAAAAAACAAACTAAATTGCAGATTAGATAAGCTGTATTCGGAATGATTGGAATCTTAAATCCAACTAATTAGCTGAGGGAAAACCCTAATTTTGCTGATTGAAATCAGATTTTAACCTTGTAAATCTTCTTCTCCTTTTCTCAATCGAACACGTGAATGAAGAATGGTGTTCGTGCAGGTAAACAAGGACGAAAGCCCAATCCTCTCTCTTTCTCCTTTTCTTTATTTTCTATTTTTTTATTTTTTTATTTATAGGGCAAAATACACTTTACCCCTTGTACTATGCCCCACGTAACAGTAACACTTATCCACTCGTACTATCAAAAATACACTTACCCCTTTATTTTAATGGTCAACACATTTGACTTTTAACGGTGTTAGTAGTAAAATAAATATAATATATTTTTAACAATCGGTCAATCCCTACTTTATTGACACATTTTTTTATTTAAAAAAATATTACATGTACTGTGAATAAATTAAATAAATATTTAAGATAATAATATTTTTAAATTTTGATTAAACAAGAAAAATATTATTACTTTTTAATAATTCATAAGAAATGACACCTTATTTTTATTAAAAAAAATATCTTTTCATTGTTGATAAATATATTTAATAAATATTTAACATGTATAAATTGTTAAATATAGGAATAAAATATTTACTCATTAAATATTTATATTAAAAATTGTAATTCTACATTAATATTTTGTAACGATATATGTTAATGATTTATTTTATTTCTTTGTAACATCAAAATTCACTTAGGCCTTTTACATTTATGATTCACTATACATAATTTAATATTACAAATAAATATTAAAAACTCAACGTACACAATGTTTAATGAGTTAAATAATTTAATCTAGAATATGAAAAATTATACTTGCTACTTGATTGTATAAAATAATATATGAAAAATTATATTATCTAAATATTAATTTTTAATATAAATATTTAACAAGTAAATTATATTTAATTCAAAATATAAAAAAGAATTGCTATCTTAAATATTTATTTACTATATTCATAGTACACATAATATTTTTTTTTAATTAAAGAAAATGTGTCCTTTAGTAAGGATTATTAAAAATATATTAAATTTATTTTACTTCTAACACCGTTAAAAGTCAAATATGTTGACCGTTAAAATAAGGGGGTAAGTATATTTTTCATAGTACGAGGGGGTAAGCGTTACATAGGAAATAGTACAAGGGGGTAAAGTGTATTTTGCCCTAATTTATATTTTATCTATCTTTTGTTTATTGTTTACTATATAGATATATAATATATTAATTTGCTAACCTATTTTGAACTAAATGACAACCTTAAATTCAATTTTTTAGTTAAATTTCTATTTTTAAATAATATACGATCCACATCCCTAGTATACTAGAGCGGATGGCTATGGTGGTAGATGGCCATTTGAGACGGCGGTGTGAGGTTAGTCTACGTGTAGAGTATGTGGCCCAAATGAATTCTTTGTGAATGGCCCATTAAAATTCCACCTTGCAACCCACTTACGAGCAGCCCACAAAATTTGAGCCCCAAATTAAAATCAGGCCAATCTCACTAGGTTTTCCCTTTTTGTCTCTCTTGACCTTTTCTTTTTTTATCTCGTCTTTTCGTTTGACAGCAGATTGATTATTCAAATCTGCCCATTTTTTCTCTCAACAAATCTTGGTGATTTGTTACATAATTCTTCGTGAGTTTGGTGGATGATTTGGGCGTATAAGTGCACCCTTTTCTTTTTCTGTGTGAGAGACGATAAAAAGAGAAAAAAAAAAAAAAAAAGTCGAGAAAAGAGTAGAATACTTCGTGTATTTTGGGAAGAAAAATTAGAGTGAAAGAAAGAACCTTTTTTGAGAAGCAAAGCTCGATTCTTTCAATGAATTCGAGCTTACTTCTTTAGGGATAAACCGGTGAGATTAGGGTTTGAATTTGGGTTTCGTTTTCTTCGTTTTGTTCCTTGGAGTACACTGTGTGTGTGTGTGTGTGTGCGCGTGTGTGTGGCTGCCGTGAGTTTTTGGAGGCCCCACTTGAATCTTGGACGAGGACTCGGAGATTGAGGGCTGAGCCGGAGAATCGACGATCGTTGGACCTTCCACATTGCAGAATTTATATTCTGCCTACGGTTCTATTTTCTGTTCCTTTTATTAATTGCTTCTAATTTGCAACTATTGCGAATTCTTAATTCTGATTATTATTAATTGTTGGTTTTGATTTGTTTAATTGATTCATATGATCATGTTTATTGGTTATTGAATATTGTCTGTTGCTGATAGTTAGTTTACGGTAATGGGTGTCATTGGATTTAATAATTAATTAATTGATTTTGTTGATTAATTATATTATATTATATTTTAATTGTTTCTAATAAAATATGAGTATTTTGATTTTGTGTGGTTTGTCTTCTCCGGGCGGATACCCAACACTACGGTGGGAGGTGGATGCATTTAGGCCTCTTTGATGATGCTAGGGTTTTGGTTGGTAGCTAGTGTTTGGTGGATTGAAGTTGGCGGCGGCGACTGTGAATTTTTTGACGGCTAGGGCAGGGCTGGCTCTAGCATGCTGGGGGCCCTAGGCGAAGCGAAAATATTGGGCCCCTATAATTAAAATATAGTTTTTATTTTTTTTATTGATGCAATGCATTAATTAATGCAAAATGAAAAATATAAAACAAAAATAAATTTTACCTAACTAAAATAGTAAATGAAATTATTCCTTATTGTAGGACTAGAAAATTATGTATTAGCGCACAAGTAAATTCACAAGGTTGCGGTTTTTGTAAAAATATTTACGTAAACACATTCAAATTCATCAACAATATTTTTTAAATAATAGAACAAATAAAAAAATTGAAATTGATAAATTTTAATTCAATATTAGAAAAACGAGTGAAATTTTAGTAACAATTAGAAATTTAAGGGTGTTTATTATAGTATAATTAAGTAATTAACTAACAAAAAATGTTTAGTTTTAGTAGTTTGGGTTTTTTCATCACCTTAGGGTCGATCTTAGGCACCTGGGGTTTCGGCGAAGCAAAACTTGGGCCCTAATGTTATAACATATGTTTTATTTTGTATAATTTTTATTATAAATTATCAAAGAAAAATGAAAAATGAAATAAAAATCAAATATGCCTACCCAAAAAAAAATAGTATAAAAATCAATAAAAGACAAAAAATAAAGAAAAACGGTATAATATAGCACATTTTCACCTATTGAAGTCAGGTGGAAAAAAAGAGTAATAATGATTGAGGGATAATATTTAGGTTAAAGTAACCGAGGACCCACATAATTAAATAAACGAATATTATTAATTATCTATTAAATTAATTAATTGAGGAGCCTACAATAGATATAAAATTTATAATATAAAAAATTAATGTCTAATGTATACAGATTTTTTATATAATATATAATATGTATTAGTGTAAAAAATTGGAAAAAGAAAAAAGTGTACAGGTGGCCCCCCACTTAATGTGGGGTCCTAGGCAACTGCCTAATTGGCCTAGTGGTTGAGCCGGCCCTGGGCTAGGGTTCGGCGACAGCTGAGAGTTGTTTTGCGGCTAGGGTTTGGAACATTAGACCTTAGTAAACTATAGTACACCGTAGTATGTTATTGCACAAGTATGCTATTGTAAACCGTAGTATGTTATAGTACACCGTAGTATACTATAGTCTACTACAGTATTAACAACAAATAAAATCAAAAAAAATAATTAAAATATGTAAATTGCATTTAAAAAATTAAAAAATATTTTTTTCGTTATCTTCAATATTATGAAGAGAAAAAATATTTTTGTAATTGTGTAAAAATTGCTAAAATGGAGAAATGGAAAGAAAAATAAAATTAAACGTGTTTTGTATAAAAAAAATTAAAAATATTGGTTGGAAAAATAATAATATATTTAATGCACGAGGGCATTTTTGGAATGAATTTTATGAACGATGTGTTGCAAATGTTTAGTTAAGGTTGTCATTTAGTTCTATTAAGGTTTGTCGCTTGGAACCTATATCTTAAGGCCCCTACTTATATTGGTATAAATTAATAGGGTTAATGGCAAAGAGGTCAATGACAAAGGTATTTAATTAAAAACAGAACATACAACTTTTTTATTTTTCATATATTTTCAGCTCATTCAAACTTATTTGTAAATAAGGAAAATCCTTTTATATATACAAATACCCCTCTAATTTCTTGAAACCCAATTCAACTCCAATTTCATGACAATATAGCCCAATTTCACCAATTAACAAATTTTGATCCGCCACCATCGGAGATCGCTGGTCTCCGGAGTTGATTTTTTTTCATTAAAAAAATATTTTAATTAATACTACTATCTTGGTTGTTAAATTACAGTCGCCAACAATAATTTAATTGTTAATTGATTTTTTATTTTGAAATTTTGTTTTTTCTTAAAAAAATTTATTTTAATTAATATTACTGTCTTGGCTGCTAAATTACCGTCTCCAACAGTAATTTAACTGTCTAGGACAGTAATATTACTGTTCAGAGACAATAATTTTAATGTATTAATTAATTCCATGGTCTTGGCTTGCAATTTTGTTGTCTTCAACCGTAATATTATTGCCTCATGCAATAATATTACAGTTTGGGACAGTAATATTAGTAATATTATTGTTTAGGAAAGTAATATTCATAATATTATTGTCTCAAACAGTAATATTACTGTATGAGACAGTAATTTAGTAGTCAAAACACTAATATTAATTAAAATATTTTTTTGTAAGAAAAAACAAAATTTCAAAAAAAAAAAAGTCGACGCCGGTCAACGGAGGTTGACCGACCGGAAAAAAAATTCAGAAATTTTTTTTTTTTTAAGTCAACGCCAGAATCTGGCCGGAAAAAAAAATAATTCATAAAAAAAGTTATTTTCTTAAAATAATATTTTTTTTACATTATGGATGGTATTTTAGACTAAATATATGGGGATGAGTTTAATTGAAGGCGACGACTATATGCAATCACAGAAATTACTTGGGGGAAGACAAAATCTAATTTTTCACCAAATGAAGTACTTGGGGGAAGACCAAATCTAATTTTTCACCTTGTGTTCTTCTCTTCTCCCGCTAGATCACTCCCTCTCGTTTTTCAATTCCTCCTTTTTTTTTGTTTCTTGCAATAGTAATTAGGTCTAGCTTGAATGAATAATATCAAAATCAATATTGAGGTTATATTTGTAATTTTCAGTCTTGTTCTTAGTAAATTTATTTATATTTTTGTTTTGCATCAAGTAAGGTCTTGCGCTTAAAAAAATTGAGATTGCAAATATTGATTGTTTTAATAGAAAGGGATACTTGATAAATATGCTTGCACCTCGGGGCAGGTCATCAATTTCGAGAAATCAACGATATGACGTTTAGCCCAAATTCCACAGTAGAGACAAAGAACTCCATTCACCAAATTATGGGGTTTGAGGTTGTTGAAAGACATGAAAAATGTTTAGGGATGCCTGTAACGATGGGAAAAACTATAAAAGATGTGTTCAAATTCATTCGAGATCAAATATGGGCAAAATATCACGGGTGGGGTGAAAAACAACTTTCAAAAGCAGGAAAATAAGTGATAATTAAGGTTGTCCTTCAAGCGATTCCAACATATATTATGGGATACTTTTCGCTTCCGATTGGGCTTATCCACGAGATGGAATCAACAATCCAAAAGTTTTGGTAGGGTAACGGATCAGCACGAAGCATGGCTTGGATCGCTTGGAAGAAACTTTGTGTTTCTAAGAATTTAGGCGGTCTCGGATTTCGGGATATGAGGACCTTTAATGTTGCTATGCTTTGTAAACAAGTTTGGCGAATTATAACGGAGCCGGATCTCTTACTTTCACGAATTTTGAGGGCAATATACTTCCCGCATCGTGATATTTTCTCGGCAGAATTAGGACAACAACCTTCCGCGACTTGGCGAAGTATTTGGCAAGTGAGGGATTATGTGTTCGCTGGGCTTAGGAGACGAATTGGAAACGGCCAGTCGACGTCCATCTGGGGCGACCCCTGGTTGAGTGGTGACGGCGGACCTAGGGTTTTTACCAAGAGACCGATTCATACTTCCTTCCCAGATAGGGTATCGGACCTCATCGATTCGAACTTGCACTCGTGAAATATTGCATGCATTGAAGAAAATTTATGGCCGGTCGATAAAAATTATTTTAAAAAATACAAAATAAAAACTAAATTGTGATTATATATTTTTTTAATATTTGAATTTATTTCTATAATATTTTATATTATTATACATTATTTAAATAAAAAATTAAATAAATCCGGCTCGCGAGCTGATGAGCAACTAAAATCCGGCTCGAGCTCGGCTCGTCAGAAAGCTCGAGCTCGAAAACCTCGAGTCCGAGTTCGAGCTTTTTACGAGCCGGCTCGTCGAGCTCACGAGTCGGCTCGACTCGTTTACCACCCCTACGTAGGACGACGGCAGCCTCATCAAGTGGAGCAGTTAAGTTCCCATGGAAGAAAATTTGGAATCTCAAGATTCCACCCAAAATCCAAACATTCTTGTGGCGCGCATGCTCAAACATATTACCCACGAGAGCCGAGCTTTTCCGGAGGAAAATCGTCGATGACCCCTCTTGCAGGAGGTGCGGGGCTGCACATGAATCGTTCCTCCACATTATCACTAAGTGTGGTGGATCGCATTTTATTTGGCAGCAATTCCCGTTTGCCGCTCTATCAAGCATTCCCACCTCTTCCACCGGTAGATGGACCGAGTATATGCTCTCAACTTTGGCAGGTGATGTTGGGTGTTTAGCGACTACCGTGATGTGGAAACTTTGGGATAATTGGAATCGGGAGATGCATGGAGAAGCGAGTATTCGGACCGAGGACGTAGTGAGTTGGTGCCAATCATACCTAGTGCAAGTGAGTCAAGGCAATATGGAAAAAATGATGCTTCGAACAATCCAACACCCGTCCCATTACCACCTAATGAAAGAGTGGTGAAGATCAATGTGGACGCAGCATTCCCGTCGGGTGCGGAATACTACTCGGTGGCCTATGTCGCACGAAATAATCAAGGTGAATACCTATGGTGGGGTGTCTACAAGATTCACGGGAGACCGAAACCTGTCGATGGTGAGGCGTATGCGGTGCTATTTGCACTAAGGAAAGCTCAATTAGCTTTATTGGAGAGGGTCATCATCGAAGGGGACAACCTTGAAGTTATCACTGCTTTGCGAAATAAAAACTCAAGCTCAGCCTCGTTCGGAGCCTTTATCGAAAGTTGTTTACTTATTGCGAGAGACTTTACTTTATGTAGTTTTGATTTTATTAAACGTTCGGGAAACTCTTTAGCGCATGCTATTGCGAAAAATCATGGTCATGCTTGTAAGGAAGGCGTAATTCTTCCCATGAATTTGACGAATATCGTCTAATAATATTATCATTTCTCCTCAAAAAAAATTGAAAGACTATTTTTTGTGTTGACAAATGTGCATTTAAGTTTCTTCGTCATGTCCCTCTTTGTTATTTGCCCAAATTAATAAGTTAGTTTGAATTGGAATTTGTACTTTGGATAAAATTCCAATTTTTTCGGAAGTGACAAAAATACTAAATCATTTTTTGTTCCTTAAAGGAACCTACAACTTCGAAATTAGAATTTTAGAAATTGAAATATATATAAAAAAAAAAAAAAAAAAAAAAAAAAAAAAAAAACTTGTTTCAGAATCTGAAATTTACGGATGGGAATCGACGTAATTCAAAACATTTTAATTTATAGCCACTTAAAATATAAAATGCATAATAATAATGATATTAAGTGTAATTTTCAGGAAAAATCAGATTTTTGAAAAGTTGGAATATCATACATATTCTATTTCACATTAAAATAAAAATAAAAATTGGAGAAAATCGAAAATCGGAATATTCACAATATAATGAGTCAACCCATCCATGAATATTAAATTCAATTGGATCCATATCACAATGTAGTTTTATTTTTCTTCTCAAAGTTCATAGCATCGTATTTACTATTCATCGTTTCAAATTAACAATCGTTTCGATATTGACGGATATATTAAAAAAGTTAAATGATACAAAAATATATTAAAATATGATGTCATTTGTTTCAACATAATATACATAATTAAAAATTATGAACCAAAAATTCAAAAAAAAAAGTAAAAGAAAATAATTCCTAGTGTAAGTAAGAAATATGCAATTTGTCTAATCATGAGATTGTTTGATCCTTATTTACATCTGGTGACCAATCAACAATCTTCATAGACTGCTCTCAATAATTTTAACATTATTTCAAATATCACCAAATTAAGCATATAAATGTGGTATCTATTATTGATCTATCAATACCTAGCTTTCGTGTATCGATTTTCTGCAGAAGCAATTTAACCCTTCTTCGGTAGACGCATCTGCAATATTGTCGAATTAAATTTAGTTCATTGGAGGGGAGAGAGAGAGAGAAAAAAAAACGCAGTAATAAAAGCGAATATAGTTTACTTTCTTACCCGTGATCTCGTGTTCCTCCAGCCTCCTGAATCCTGAGTTGGTGAACTATATGCGAATTTCTCGAAGTCAGCGGGACCCACATTTTTCGCCTTGTTTGAGTCGAAATATGGAGATGAAACCTACAAATCAAGAAAAACAAGAAAATTCCCGTGTACGAAAAACGTAAGTGTTAGTTTATGATTGATAAGGTAGTTATCCAATTATATTCGGAATGTTAAATCGTCTGAAAAGGTTTCTTCTAAGCAAACATAGTTTTAGTATTTTCACTGCATTTTAACTGTTTCGAAACGAAAACTAGAAAAAGAAAGATTACCTTTTCTTTCGGTCCTTCAAAACTTTTAATCTCTGTTTCAAAGATCTTAATCTCCAAGCGATCGAGATAAAATAATATCTGCATACACAATCATACAAGATATACAAGGGTGATTAGGAAGTAGTGTCACAACAGTTAATGCAAGAGATTAATTGTCTTGAATAACACAATTAACTCTAACCTTGTTTTGAAAGTTAATATTCGATGCATCAGTCGCAACAATCTGAACACCAAGACAATTATCCGATTCGACACAGAAAGGACAAAAGATAGAGTTGAAAACACATCCATCTTCTTTACACCAAATCCCCTGTCCAGAAGCACCTTCTCGAGCTGCTCCATAAACACGCTTATCCAACGATGATGTATCAGACACTAAAACATCAACACTTGCTTTATTCAAAGTCGCATTTTCCAAATTCTTTTGCTGTAGAGACATTAAATGAACTTTTGATGATGAGCTTTTCGAGCACATAACAAATAAATCATTTTCGGGGAGGCCCAATGGATTTTTGCAACGTGAGCAGAATATTCGTAGCTTTTCGTCCATGTTATTAACACCAGAATGCCCATTTGATCCATCAGAATTTGCAGCCTTTGATGATGGAAAAGATTTAAATTTGCACTCTTCGGTTACGTGGGCTGCATCTGCAGTTGTTATTGAACTAACCGAAAAACTTACCCTATCAAGATCTTGAACCGCCGACAAAACTTTTCTCCTCTTCCAATCATTAGAATTGACACTCCACGGTGATTCTGCTTCAGGTTCGATACTCTCCGCTTTGGATCCGATTTCCATTTTAGGAGTGCCAATTGCCGAATACATGAAATTAGTTGGACTAGCATTTAAATTGTGGCGAGATCTTCGATGAAATGAAGAATGCTGAGGGAAAGCGGTGAACGGATTATTAGTCTGTGGAGTTGTGTAATCATGCTTTGAAACAAACCCGTGAGTTGCTTCAGGGGTTCTGCAGTTCATATCAGGTGTTTCTTTAACACTGGTGAGTTCAATATCATCTGGGAGCAAAGCCACTCGAGGTGTTGTGGAGCACCTGCATGTGGTGAAAAATTAGTTTCATTATTAAATTATTACACAAGTACTATCTTCACAGGACTAGAGAATTACGAAAGTTTATTACATCTAATATGAAACTGAATATGGATATACTCTGGCTGAGAAGCTTGTCAAATGTTTAAAGTTACGGAATAAAAAAACTTAATAGTATGGAAAAACAAAATGTACCTTGAGTCCTTCTCAGAATCACACTCTAGGTCAATGTACTCTGTGCAAACACTAGCGTCTTTATCATCTGTTAACGTAAACCCACTTCTTATTCGAGTAGACGGAGAATCATATTTTGCAACCGGAATCGATGGATGGGTCAAACCAGCAGCTTTTTCACCTACTAAGATAGGATTTGAATCTCCCTTTTTTTGGTAACTAGTAGATTTTGTTGTTTTATTATTATGTTTCTTCTTTGTCACATTTCCCTTATCCACAGGTTCGATGATTTCACACTCTTCCTTCTGATCTAGTGATGGATTTGCTGCTATGCCCGTATGAACCTATATTCAGAAAAATCAGGGACAACAGTAAAATATTTTCATAATAGATCACATATTCGATTACGGCTCTATTCCAATACCTTGACATCTCTGAAAAACGATTTCAAGCCGTCAATGGATTCCTCAAAGCAGCTGTAGAGCCTAATCGACTTGCGCAGCCACTTTGATATATGTGCTCTATTTCTCTCTTTATGGAACCGCTCATCTGCGTGCAAAAAAGAACAAATTTGGGTAGATAGTTTCGAAATCCAATATAAAAGCTGAAAGAATATTAATCACGGACTATCTAAAACTTTTTGAAGAATCTGATCAGGAGTCAGCACACGATTGCAGAGCTGGGGTAGCCACAAAGTTGAATTTGTAATCACTTAAACACTGAGATGTTAGTTCAATTAGAACTTCACTTAATGGGTCGAAATAAATAGAAGAGAAATCCTTCAATTGGAATTGGACAAAAATACTTTGTACCAGAACAACATATGATATGACTTGAGTAAGTTCAATCTAATCTTTAGAATTGAGACAAGCAGAACTCAGACAATGTGTAACTTGTCTTGTTCCTTAAGAGAAAAATGGATCACAAGTACCTAAGAAGATGATAGCTCCATAGTCATATCTGTGGCGTATGCAACGACCTACACAAAATTAAGGAAATAGATATCATGCTTAAGAAGAGCTGCAATTAAATGAGAATGAAATCTAAACAACCGAGAAAAGTGCAACTTAGGATGAAGAGTCAATTTCAGTTATGAATATGATGTGTAGTTTATTCTCAATAAAATGTAATGAAGGAGAGAGAGTAACAATAGCATTCTAAACTCAAGCTGGGAGCAAAAGAAACTGAAAAACCCTGTAATATTAAACTACCTGCAGCCTGGTTTAGAGCTCTGAAGGCTTGCTGACAGTACCACTCGTTCCCACTTAAGAGGTTTTTTGATGACTCGTGTACATCGTTAAACTTCTTTTTCTGTGCAACTTTAACGTCATATCTGCAATCAGTGATCAAGAGTCATAAATATGATTATATGAACACGGTACCTAATCATTAATTAATGAAGTAAAAGGAAAGAAGACCAATCTTACATGTTCGGAAAGGGAATCCCAACAATAACCTGAAATAGTTAAGGCATAACATTCGATAGAGTAGATCAATACACTAGTTTGCCCAGTTAATTCTGAATGTAGGAACAATGTTTATCATAGACTTGATAATGTCTGTTTAGCAAGATAATCATTAATCACCACAGACTAAGAATAAAAAAAATTGAAGGATACAACAGCTCGAGCATTGTCATCTGAGAAGTCCATCCCTTCAGATACCTGCAAGCATTAAATCTCATTGGTTACTTGAGTGTAAAGTTAACAGAAGTAACAATGCATCCGATATGACTTTTATGACATGATTGGAACTCAACTGAATGCAGCGATATTATGTAAACAATTTAACAACTATGTTTCAGCATGTTATCAAATAAGCTTCTATTAAATCTTGTAAGATCTCAAATTTTATGTGCCCTTCTCCGCAAAATGTAGATAAACACATCAAGGTAACATTGATATTACATGAGGATGATGCATGTATTGCAGCCTAAGAAATATGCTTGCCCAAATACCAATTAGGTGGAATACGATATATACATTAAATTCCCATCCCGAAGTGAAAAGAAACAAAACAACTGAAAAGTGGCTTCTCAATAAGATTAAGAAAAAAAAAAAGATTAAGTAAAGGAATATCCCGAATTACCTTGCCTCGACAAACAGCCAAAAAGGCAGCACCTTTTTTCTTAGTATCTTTTGTAGATTCCACTGAGTTGTCCTTTTTGAGTCCCAGCTTTTTACCCCGTGCTTTTTTTCCACTCACCTGCCTTGCGCCATGAGAAATTGTATTATAATAACCCTTTAAAACAGCCTCGAAAGACTCTTGACTGCTTCCTCTCGGTTCTATACCAAACAAAATCAGACAAAAGAAAAGGAAGAACAACAATTGATCAGTATGTTCAGGATCAAAAGACGAAGAAAAAAAGCAGTTATACATCATAATGCGTAAAAAGTAGAGATCCATTCTTGTAATTGTGTCCGCATTAAGGATATGAACCTTACCAACAAAAAGGGACTTTTGAGCATTTAGTCGAGACCATAAACCAGTTTCTTGCCACCGAGTGCTTACTTTATCCAGCAGCTTGTAGCTAGGAAAGAAAGCTAGGCAACCACCAGGAACGACCTTGCATATTTCCTCCAACGATGCACCAACGGAGTCCTTTAAAATAATTAAATACATAACAAAATGTCATATAACTCTAGGGAAGGAATTTCATTCACCTTCCGGTAATACATTAGAAGATGCATAAATCATAATACCTGGAAAGCATATTCATCTGAAGTCTTGTAACTTGCATTCAATGGATAGTTACCAGGACCATTGGAAATTGCAGCTGCCCATATCTATAGCAGATGGTGAAAAACTATTCTATTAAATATAGCAGTCCGATTTGAGCTGATATTATTTAAAAAAACACAACTTTTTGTACCTGTGAATCAACATCTACGACATGTGGAGCTTCTAGACAAGTGCCAAACTGAACCCCTAGTTCAGATGAGAAAGTATTCAGGGGTGATAGGGTCCTGTGATGATAAGAAAACAAAATTTTGTTGGTAGAAATGATGCAGTTAGCCTGTTACCATTGATATACACAGGTACAAAATTTTATCAGTATGTACTTAAGATTTCAGCAAAGATACAAGGTAGAAGAGCTCCACCAACAGAATTATTACTTCATTCAAATGAAATGCAAATAATAGATTTTTCGAAGAGATAACCGTTGAGTATCCATTTGTGGAACCCTATGGCACGGGATACCAAAACTCAATAAATCAAAACGAAATGTTAAAGAATTCAAACCATAAAACACACAATTTTGTGGAATGGTTAACAACAAACACAACCTCTATATAAGTAAACCGAATGCAGCTAGATTACCCTGAAGTTAGAATCACGGATTGAGATGATTCAGCAATGCTTTTGAAAACAACAGCTGGATTGAGGCACCACAAGTTGAATGTGGTTGTCCAACCACCTGCAGCATTTCCTATACAACAATATCGGTAAGCGTTTCTTGAGCAGACAATCAAAAAATGAAGTTGCAAATAGGAGAAGAGAACCTACTTTTCGGAACTCTATAAAGTGTAGACAAGATCTATAGAAGGTTTGGTACATATCATTTTATAGGAATAGTTCTCTCATTATTCCTCAAGAAATAACTCACCTTCATATCAAATATCTCAAACACACGTCCCACTCCCTTTGTCCCAATTTATGAATCCTATTATTCATTTTTCAATAGATCTCAAATAAAATTCGAATTCCTAAAAATGAAAATTTGTTTCCAAAAGTACCATCACAAATCATAGTCTCGAACTGAAGGCAATAATGTAAAGTTATACAACTTTCACTTTCCTCTTGCATTTAAAACTCTGCACTTTACCAAATGGGAGCTCTCATTTTGGGGTTGGAACTTGGAAGTGGTCAAATATTAACATAATCCTTTGACTGCGTGTTTTCCCATTTAATGAACTCGAGTAACTTTAAAAGAGTTTTTCTATAGCAAATTTGCAGGGCCAGGTGCACTTGCCATTTAAAAGTTAAGGGGATAAAAAAATGATCACACTTACCTTCATCTTTCTTCACAAATCTTTGTAATGCTAATTCATAGTCATTGGCATGGATGCCGTTCCCAGAGAAGAAATAACTGAGTGAAGAGAACAATCCTGTTGATAAACACAATCCCGATTCAACAATATAAACTTCACTACAGTAGTGAGTAGACACTTCAAGAATATAAATATGGACATACCTTCCAGTGTAGTTGCTGCGAGTCCACTTAAATGAGCAATATCTGGTTCAGCTTCTGAAGCAGCTTTGATTGCCTTCAGAGCAATTAAACCATCATAATGAGGGTGTAGATGGCCATAATAACGAGTAAGCGTATTGTATATAAACTAACAAGATTTAACAAAAACTGTACATTATATTTGAACTACCTTTTTAGCACATTCTTGCAGGATCGGGAAACTCTGTAGTGATATATTAGCTTCCCTTAGCTCCGTTAAAGCCTTATTTCCAGTCCAACTGAGTTATCCGTAACAAACAAAAATAAAATAGGAAAGAATGAGAAAAGTTGAGAATTCTGTTTCGAAATACAACCATAAAATGATCCTTTTCAAAATGTGTTTGGCAAGGCCTAATTTTATGGGGACTTAACGTGTTTTGGGTGCGTAACTTTGTTTTTGATGTTTGAAATGAATTATATAAAGCAAATTCAGATTTCATAAAGCAAATTCAGATTTAAATGGAAGATTTTTACTTGAGATGGCTTTCGGTTTATAAGGAAGGAGATACCTTTACATGCCAAAAATAGGATACGACCAATTGCAATTCCTTGAATGTCTAATGGTTCCAAACACTAGATTTTGATTAGAAATTTAATTACACGTGAAAATCATATTCGAATTCCATTTATAATGATTCAAAACAAAAAAATAAATAGTATGACCATAAAATTGCAAAGCTTAAAACCATATATAGAAAATTTATTAGCTTACGATAAAGACACAAATAACCCAAATATTTCTATGTTCTCTTGCACCAAAATATTTGCAGCTTTTAGTTCATGTTACTGGATAGAGTAATGAGAAATATGTAGAACTAACAAAATGAGACCATTCACTATATTTAAAAATGACTAACCAATAGAAATATCGTTGAAATTCACGCTTTACTAAGGTATTTTTTCTGCTGCCAATCCAACTTAAGATGTCCTACACAATCAAAAGAATTCATTAACACCGGTGAAAATTAGGAATTCGGGACATAAATGGAAAACACGCAGTTAGAATCAGTACCTGTATCATCTCAAACAACGGTTGGTAAGTCATGCCATCATTGAGGCTCAACTGCCCTAGTTCTGTCTGCAAATCTTCAAAAACACATAGCCACTGAGACAATATAACAGGTATTAACTAAATAAATATGTGGATTTGCACTTACAGATCAAAACTTCTTCATCAAGATCAATACTACCAGCATCACGAGCTATATCTTCTATATTGCTGACCAGATTTAAGAAGCAAGGGATGGTAGAAGAAAATACATTATCATTTAAACGGTCAGATACTTAAGTCTCAATTTTCAATTTAAATTAAGTTTGTTCAATCCAACACAACAAGACATTTAACGAGAATATATGTTCAGGGTCTGTTTCAGCAATCCATTGTTTTTACTCCATAAGAAGCACAAGAACAATGACCAGTTATTTTGTTTCTAAGAAAATGTTGTCGTTCAAAATTATCATTTGGGAGACAAGTAAATAGGCTAACATACTGTGCTTCGTCGAGAATGATAATGCTCCCACTAATATCAATTTCCATTGCAGCCCGGATGACTGGATTGATAATGTAGTTATATGGGCAAAAGACTAATTCTGATTCTTGTGCCATAGAACGTGCTGCAAAATACGAACAACCTGAAAATCGAAGTGCTCTTTCAGAGACGGCTAAATTACTTGGGAAAAACATAGTAAACTGAAAAGAAGCAAGATGGAACCACCTTTGACTACTTGCCCAACTTTGACAAGGTCTTCAATATCGTGAACCTCATGACAGCCTCCTTTTTGAAGAGAGGGATGAGATTTGACTTTATGAACATTCCTGACAAAGAACAACAACGATGAGGGCATTGATATTGCATGTGTTCAGGGTATAGTAGGCAGCAATATATCTAACGAAAATTAACTTACTTGAATTCTGGGCAGGTATCTTCTTTATTCTTCAAAAGCAACTTGCTGAAATTTAAAATCTCTGTTAGCGTAAAAAACAAATACAAGGAGGTTTATGTTTCAAAAAGAAAAGAAGAACCATTGCTCATCAACTTTATCTTCACCACGTAAGTATGGATTTGTACAATAATGTTTCCTTGATCCCTGAATGAACACACAAAAGAAATAAGCAAACAAAAATACCATTTGAAACAAGTAGATTCTGATTGAATTAAATAACGAATAACGTTCAGTCATACAGCCAACCAGGCAAAAGAGGAAAGAATTGAACTACAATCCTTGACTTTGTGAAATTTCTTGCATCCGTACAAATATTTCAAAAACCAGATTTATGCATGACTTACAATTCCTATATCTGTTCTAAAATTTTGACTGTAGTCTACATCCAAATATTCATAATGTTGCAAGTTGTTTTCATATGCTTCCTTTTAATTACTTTGAGAAAGCAATAGTTCATTGGAATGCATCAGACAGAAAAACACATCCCACATCACACCTGAATATAAACATTCATTTCCTTTTTGCTGTTTTACCTGTTCATTTTTTTAGTGTCCCTTTACATTATAGAGCATAAGAAAGGAGATTGAATAGCACAAAGATGTGTGACAAAATATTTCCATCATGTTTACTTATAACTAAATGGAAAGATGACTAAGATATATTTCAGAAGAAATGACCAGATAAATTGCTTAATTATTTACTTAGTTACTCCTGCAGTTCAAGTATCAAGCATATCCAGGTTCACAAAACATGATTTGATCCCCAACCTTCATGCCACGACTTCTCAACTAATACTAAACCTAAGAACTAAGTTAAAACCGTAACTATACCAACAAAGCAACAAGATTTTCCCTTCAAGCTACATTATTTCATGAAAATGTCGGAAACAACAGAATATTTAAATATCATTTTCTATTCTTGTGGGTATATCTCCGGACCAATGTTGTAAACTATTTCACAGTTTACACGTAGATGACGCATTCTTAAACATTCCAGCCAGGTAGTTTCTGAATTCTGGCTATGCTCGTTAACTGTAAAGTAAGTCATATTGGAGGGAAACATCAGCATTGAAATACTGGAAATTAGGTCTCGACTCGTGACAATGAAAAACTCAAATAAACATGAAATAGTAAACGCACGACAGAATTTTAAGATGGTAAAAACCTACCAAAACTGCCATGGGAACCCGGTAAGAGGTTTTCTTGTACTCTCGAATCACTTGACTGATTTGTGAATGAGTCCGCCTAGTAAAACGAAACTAACCACATTAATCAAAAAACATTAGACTGGGAAAAATGTTTTGGTCATTGATACTTTGATACCCCCAATGTCGAAATAAACTGGTGGCAGATGCATGTAATTATTTTCCAAAATCCATCCAACAAATACAATGCTGGAGTAAATCAAACTTACGACGAATAAAAGATGGTCGGAGCCGATTTTAGCTTCTCCTTCTTACCACTGGTGGTTGCAGACGGAGGTATTGATGGATTCCCTAAAGAAAAATTACAAATTAATCAAACAAACACACTCTTTTTCTCCCCCTTAACAACAAACAGAATCTAAACAAAACTATACCCATTATCCAACTATCATTCTATTTTTATCATTCGCTTCGAATTCAAATACGAAATACCTGATGGCTGAGTCTCGGGAATGAAACCACCGCCATGATTAATCGGGTCCGTGACAGCCTCGGGATTAGGCTTAAAGCTCGAATGGTTTAGGTTCCCGCGAATATTCTTCGACTTCTGATTCTGCTGCCAAGCTATGGTGGAGCAGAGCAGCGATAGCGATTTCCCCGTTCCAGTAGGGGACTCTAGCAGCGCGTGGCAGTGACCTTCCCTCTGAGAACGATCGAGTGTCGATATCACTCGATTCATAAACGCCAATTGAGTTCCGTACGGCTGGTACGGGAACTCCACCGGAATTCCCCCAATATGGATGGTGTTCTTTGAACTGCGGCTGGAATTGGGGATAATCTTAGGGTTAGGGTTTGCAAACGGCGCCGGCGAAGGGGGTATGGGGGAATCTGAATCCGCCATTTTCACGAACTGAAGGTGTTCGTGTGTGAGGGTTGGGGTTTTGGTGTGTGTGTGTGTGTGTTTTGGCTTCTGCAACCTGTTAATTTTCTGAGTGGGGATTTAGCGGGCATTTTACACGCTGATGTGGCGGGAAAATGTTTTCAACTTCACTTTGGTAATTCTTTTTTTTTTTTTTCTATTTTATAATTCGATGACTAGTAAAATTCTAATAATTTAACAAAATATTAAATTATCGCACAACTAATTTAATACATTTTCATTGAGACGGGATCGAGACAAATAAATATTTAAATAAGCTTATTAATTTATGAACACAGCCTTTGGTGCTATGTGTTTTGTAATTTTGACCTCTTTTTTTGTTATGGTGAAATTCTATTAGGTAATATGAATTTTTGATTCATTATGTAATATGAATTTTTGATTGTGTCATGTAGAGAATATGATTCATTAGGTAATATGAATTTTTGACACGCGCGACGACACACACCGGTTGACTCCGTGTTAGTAAATACGGCTTATGAGATCCTATACTTGATGAAATACACTGTTTGATTTTAAATTGTAGATCTATATAAAATTAACTATCTACTAAGCGTACTTAGAGCCTATTTGGCTAAGCTTATAAGCTCTTAAAAATATATTATGAGATGTTTAAGAGCTTATAAGGCAATGTTTGGAACTGTTTTTATTTTGTTTTCATTGTTTCCCCAAAACAAAATGGGATATATTACACTTTTCAAATCATTTTCTCAAAACAATTTCAAAAGTTTATTTCTCCTTTTGACATGATGTGACTGCTACAGTAAAATGATTTGACTGCTACGGTAAAAAATGTCATCACTAAAAAACAAATAAACATCACTTCACCTTTCAAATTTTTTCTTCAAAAATACATTTTTCTAACACCTTTAAACATGATTTGACTGCTACAGTGTATTTTGTTTCCTTCCAAAATACAAACAAACATTACTTTCATTCTCAAATTATTTCCCCAAAACATATTTCCTTAAAATGAAATCAAAATAAGATCCAAAACGCTTCCAAACATTGCATTAAGTAATTTAAAAGTCTTTGGTAAACAAATTAGAAAATATCTTATTTTTTCCAAATATAAGCTGTTAAGGAACTTATAAGATGTTTTTATAAAAGTATCTTCACCGAACATTTTTTCTTTAAGATTTTATTTGATTATTTACTAAAACACTCAAAATACAAAATTACCCTCAAATACTTTATTATATTACACGAATACTAATAACATTTACATTTTTATTAAAACAACATATTCTTGTAACAAGATTAGTTATTAGTTAAAATATAATTATCATAATAATTATTAAAAAAAATTGTTCTCTATTTACATTTTATATGTATATAAAACACCTGAATATTCTTATTATCTCAATAATAAATTATATTTCTTTTATTTATTAAAAAAGTTACATTTCTTTTACAACCTTTATTTTATATTAATATATTAATTTTATATTATTATTTTTATTTGTAAAATTAATTTATAAATATTAAAATAATATTTTAGAAATAAAAGTAATTGAGTCAAGTAACTTTAACGTTATAATGGTGTCATGTATTTTTTTGTCATTATAGCTATAAACAGACATTTTATTTCCATACACCTAAACAACTTATAAGACCTAAGATTAACTAATTATAATCTACATATCCAAACACCATAAATAATAATTTTTAAAATAAGATTTAACAGCTTATCAACTCCTAAAACATCTTATTAGATATAGGAGCTTTTAAGATGTTTTAAATAAGCTTAGCCAAACGTAAACATGGGTGTGTGTTATTATGTGTAGAATGTAGTTCAATGATGTAAAACCACATGATATATTTCACTAGATGTAGGTTCTACAAAATCGGAAAAAACACATAACCGATTCAACCCGATCCGTGTGGATTGCCATGGAACGGTTTTCCATTTTTTTATACGTCGGTGGTAGAGATTAATTTTGTGTTAAAAAAAACGACATACTTACCTGCAAATTGCAACAATCGTCGTCCATTTGGACTATTGTTGATTCCTAGTTGATATCCCGAAAAGAAAAATGTAACAATTTGCGACCTAATATTTAAACTGTAAAAGTTTTTGGAATTACATATGTTGGAAAACATTATGCAATCTATCAAAAGCTATTATGCATCTATCGAGCCTCGCTTAATCCCACTTTGCACCCTTGACATATACTATTTTGGCATTTTGCACCATAAAAAAATAATAATAGCACTTTGCACCCTCAAAACACAATAAAACATTCACAATGCACCATGAAATGAATAATAAAGGCAATTTTAATTTTCATTGGTACGGTCTTTTTTTTCGGGGTGCAAAATAAAACAATAAATTGTTATTCTCTTGAACTTCCAACCTAATTTCGAGCAGACAAAGTACGAAAAAAATAAAAATTACATTGGATTATTTAAAAAACTATATTTTCTTACAAAATAAAATGAAATAAACTTCTATCACTAAATTATTCGATTGATGGATCTTTTATTGTAACTGATTGAAAATATTAGGTAAAATATCAGGAAGAAAATATGATTTCCAGATAACTCGATAACGAGATAGTTTAATGATTTTTTTCGTACAATATTTTATTTTGATAAAAAAAATATAATTTTTAAATATGTTGATGAAATATATTTTTATTGGTGCACTTTATAGTTTCAAAATGATTGATAAATAAAATAAATATTTGACATTTGGCATCCTAAAAAAATATCACTAAAAATATTAAATTACATTTTTAGATTTAAAAATATATTTGGAGTGCACTATGGAAGATTTATTGTGTTTCGATGGTGCAAAGTGCTATTAATTTATTTTGATGGTATAAAGTGCCAAAATGGTATATTTAAAGGGTGCAAAGTGGAATTAAGCCTTCGAGCAATAACAATTACATTCATGTAGTGACATTTTTGTTCTATGACTTGTGAGAATAAATGTAACTTAGGGTGAATATTATTAAACCCCATATAGTTACAAGTTTTTACAGATGATCCCATGTGCTGGTAATATATCAGATAACTCCCTTGTGGTTTATAGGATAACTTTCGTTAGTTTTTCCGTCAACCTTCAAGGGGGTCATTTGCAAGAAAATTGCTTTGACGTTTGACACTGACGATTAAATTTGACGAAAAAACTAACGGAAATATCCCATCAACCACAAGGGAGTTATGAGCTGATATTAGAGCATAATGGGGTCATGTGCAAAAGTTTGTAACACACGAGAGTTAAGTGCTATTTATTCTACTAGTAATTGTACCCGTGCGATGCACGGACAACAAATTGCATTGTTTTGATGTTGTAAGAATATAAATAAATGTTTGATGCATCGTATGATCCAAATTCTATTATAATCATTCGTTAATAATTCATCAGTGGAACATTACTAAATATACTACACACAAAAAAAAAAAAAAAAAAAGCGAATAACTTTATTGTTGAATAATTTTTCAAATGAATTGAATCAAGTAATACCAGTAGATTGAAAAATTGAACCATAAACAAAATCAACAACTATGTCTTTCATGTTGAGCTTAAAAGTAATTAGATTTAATAATATGAGTGATTGAGCTGGTTCAGGCATAAAAAATTGATAAAAATCGAAAATAATATTTAGGAGATAAAAATCGAAAACAATATTTAGGAGATACAAATTTGATGAAAATCGAAAATAGTAGTTAAAATAATGTTTAGGAGATAAAAATTTGATAAAAAATTGAAAAGTAATATTTAGGAGATAAAAATATGATAAAAATCGAAACTAATATTTAAAATAATATTAAAGAGATAAAAACTTGATAAAAATCAAAAATAATATTTAAAATAATGTTAATGAGATAAAAGTTGATAAAATACGAAAATAATAATTAAAATAATATTTATGAGATAAAAGAATGATAAAAATCATAAATATTAATTAAAATAATATTTAGGAGATAAAAATTTGATCACAATCAAAAATAATATTTAGGAGATAAAAATTTGATAAAAATCGAAAATAATATTTAGGAGATAAAAATTTGATAAAAAATCGAAAATAATATTTAGGAGACAAAATTCTGATAAAAATTGAAAAATAATATTTAGGAGATAATTCTTTTATAAAATTCGAAAACAATATTTAACATAATATTTAGGAGATATAAATTTGATCAAAATTTAAAATAATATTTATGAAATAAAAATATGATAAAAATCGAGAATAATATTTAAAATAATATTTCGGAGATAAAAGTCTGATAAAAATTAAAAATATTATTTAAAATAATATTTAGAAGATAAAAATCTGATACAGATCAAAAATATTATTTAAAATAATATTGAGGAGATAAAAATTTGATCAAAATCGAAAATAATATTTAAAATAATATTTAGGAGATAAAAATTTGACAAAAATCGAAAATAATATTTAGGAGACAAAAATCTGATAAAAATCGAAAAATAATATTTAGGAGATAAGTTTTTTATAAAACTCGAAAGGAGATATAAATTTGATAAAATTCGAAAATAATATTTGAAATAATATTTCGGAGATAAAAATTTGATAAAAATCGAAAATAATATTTAAAATAATATTAAGGAGATAAAAATCTGATAAAAATTGAAAATAATATTTAGGAGATAAAAATCCGCTAAAAATCGAAAATAATATTTAAAATTAAATTTAGGAGATATAAATTTGATAAAATTCAAAAATAATAATTAAAATAATATTTAGAAGATAAAAAAATTGATAAAAATGTAAAATAGTATTTAAAATAATATTTAGGAGATAAACATTTGATTAAAATCAAAAATAATATTTAGGAGATAAAAATCCGATACAAATCGAAAATAATATTTAAGAGATATAATATATCTGATAAAATTCGAAAATAATATTTAGTAGATAAATTTGATAAAAATCGAAAAAAAAAATTACAAATATAACATTAGGGTTTCTTAGGGTTGCCCTAGCGTTTCTTTCTTTTATATATAAGAATATAAGATAACCTATGCATAAATAATAAGAATTATTTATTTGAATTTGAATTTAAAGTGAAGATATAAATGAGAATTTTTTGTATTTAAAAATTAATTAACTTTTTCATATATAAATTAAACACACTTCTTTTAAGATTTCATTTTCCGAGCACAAAAGTTCGTTTGGAAAAATGTTTCTCAAAAGATTTTCAGCAAAATCCTTCACCTACAGATCACTTTTGATGAACTATCGCCATTCTTCAATTTCGGAATTTGCTTTTTCAACCCTAGAAATTGATCTGAATCCCACATACAAGAATCATTCCAATGGCGACGAGTCCCGTATACTGAGCCAGCTCTCCGACATTTTCCCCACATCGATTTCTAACCCCGCCGCCGCCGCCGTCGCCGTAAATCCACCGCCCAGGCAATCGGAAATCAGCGCCGCCGTCGATGATTTTCTTCCGCCAGAGGATAAACTCCGCGGAGTTTTTTTGCAGAGATTTAGCGGCGAAACCGCAATTCACCGCGCACTGAGCGGCGTCGGTGTAGAATTAAACGACGACGTATTTGCTAAAGTACTGAACAGAGGTAACTTATGTGGTAAATCGATGGTGGCGTTCTTCAATTGGGCGATTGAGCAGCCGGATTTGTCGAAAGGTATTGATTCTTACCATGTAGTACTTAAATCATTAGGTAGGAGGAAATTCTTTGTGCATATGATGGAAATGTTGAAAGATATTAGGGATAAAGGAATGTGCCCTAATTCAGAGACTCTTTTCATTTTCATGGATAGTTACGTTCGAGCTCGCCAGGTTTCTAAAGCTACTAAATTTTTCGGAGAATTGGACAAGTACGGATTGGTATTTAACGAGGAAACATTCACCGTCGCTTTAAAATGTCTGTCTCAGCGTTCGTACGTGGCCACTGCGTGTTTGTTGTTCAATAAAATGAGAGATAAGGTGCAATGCGACTGTGCGATGTATAATATTATCATCGGCGGTTGGTCGAAGTTCGGTGCAGTTTCTGAAATCGAGAAGTATTTGAAGGTGATGGTGGACGAGGGAGTTGAGCCCGATTGTGTTACTTATAGTTATGTAATCGAGGGTTTTGGTAGAGCTGGTAAAATTGATGATGCTGTTAAGATTTTTAAGTACTTGGAGGAAAAGGGGAGTGGGCTGAGTGGTGGGGTGTACAATGCTGTGATTTTTAATTGTATTGCTAGCGGTGATATTAACGGGGCTTTAAAATACTACGAGGAAATGCTGAGTAATTGTTTTGAGCCAAATATCGACACTTACACTAGATTCATAGTGTATTTTCTTAAGAGTAGAAGAGTTTCGGATGCTATTGGGATGTTGGATGAGATGCTAGGTCGAGGGGTAATTCCGTCCACGGGAATTTTGACTGGTTTTATTGAACCTTTGTGTAGCTATGGTCCGCCTTATGCTGCGCTGATGGTTTATAAGAAGGCGAGAAAAGCTGGATGTAGAATATCGTTCACTGCCTATAAACTATTGCTAAGTAGGTTGTCTAGGTTTGGCAAATTTGGGATGTTGCTGAATATATTGGACGAAATGCAAGAGAGTGGTTATTCTTCTGATATGCAGGTTTATGAGTATATAATAAATGGTCTCTGTAACACGGGGAAGCTTGAAACAGCTGTCAAAGTTATGGAGGAATGTATACGTAAAGGGTTTTACCCTGGAAAGATTATTTGCAGCAAACTTAATAACATGTTGATGGATTCGAATAAAGTCGAGGTGGCATACAAGTTATTTCTGAAGTTGAGAAAGGCTCGTGTTAATGAAAATGCACAAAGATACTGGAGAGCGAAAGGATGGCACTTCTAGAACTTTTCTCATATGTCGGTTGGTTGCGGCTCGTAAATGGTCCGACAAGCTTCCCCTTCAAGATCAAAGTTCTTGATGAATTTAATTGCGTTGATGCTGCAAAGGTAAAACTATAGTTCTGGTCATGTAAAGTTGGCCATTTATAATTTAGTTAGAAATTGTGCATTTTTTTTTTCAAATTTTTTAGTGGTGTTTCATTTCCGGGACCTTTTCTTTTGTGCGGTCGACTATTACGTTCATGTATGCGTACTGGTCTGTGTGAATGCTGACTGGTGTATAGTATCGACGCTTTCATAAGGGGATTTTCTTTAGTTAGTCTCTAGTTTCTTGAAGTAATACTTTGAACATGTTTTCGAAGCTGAAATGTGAATAGAAGATGATTAATATTCGAGACTTTTCGTACTATGAAATTTTAATCTAGTATTTCTATATGCGTCCAGCTTGAGCCGAAGTGAAAACTAACATAGATTTGGTGAATCTAATAAGTAAGTAATTGAATGAAGATTGTTTTTAGACCCTTTCTTGAAATTATTCGTAGCACTATTATATGTCTTATTAGGGCGAATGATCTAAATCTCTCACTCTCTGCTGTGCAGTATGTAATAATTACACTTCTTTTAAGTAGTCGTGGTCTATAGATTACTCCCGTAAGTCTGAAGTATACATGTGTGCCTATATTTTTTCATTAGCAGTCATGAATGCCACGTCAAATAAACGGAAGTATTCAAGGGAATAAACAAAATCACTTCATAAGTGCGAATGTTTTATTTATTTTTCAAAACATTATGTTTTTCAGCCAAGGCTAATGATATCTTTCCAAAAAAATTGCAGGTCAAAATGCGATCCCCGTTTGGTCTTCAAATTCAGCATGCCATCTGGCAAAATCATCTAAATAGGGTAAGTGTTGTACTTCATCTTGTTGTTTAAGATTGATGACGAAATCTAGAATATTTGTAAAGGTGAAATTATATCAAAACAAACGGTGAAAAATAGATGTGGATTTTAATACTAAAATGCCGAAGATTTGCAATTTCTGTGAAATGAAATAAAGCAATTTATAGAAGCAAAGAGGATATATATATATATATATATATATATATATATATATATATATATATATATATATATATATATATATATATATATATATATATATATATATATATATATATATATATATATATATATATATATACAAGGAGCAAAAATATCTGAGGCCGGAAAATTACTAAGTGATCGGTAAGACGGTAACTATCCTCCTTTAGAAAAAAAAAACAAAAAAACTAAGTGATCGGTAAAGCCTCTAGCAGTTATATATATATTTTTTTCAAAAACAAGAAACTGTAATAATTAATTGTTGATTGTTTCGTAAGTTATATTGATATTATAGAATGAAACTAGTTCCAAAAACGGTAACGATATTGATTTTGAGATAGTAAATCACTGCTTATATGTATACTATAGTAAACATTACCCGTTGTATTTTACCACGTGTAGCATCTATGAGACCGGTAGGAGAGAAGGAAAAAATAATTATTGAATGGAGTTAGTTTGCAGTTTATGGAAACTATTCTTGGATTTTTTAATGTGTGTATATGTATTAAATAAATAAATAAAACATTAGACATTTTGTTGAAAAAATAGAAAATAATCATAAAAAAGATTAGATAAATAAGGTCCCACCGAGACTTGAACTCGGGTTACTGGATTCAGAGTCCAATGTCCTGACCACTAGACCATGGGACCACTTTTGGCATAATACAAGAATCTATATGTAATAATTCATTGCCTTCATTTAGTTCGCAATTGATGAAGGCTTGTTTATGGACAGGTATAGCCGTCGGACCTGTTCGACGGGTGCATCTTCGTATGATCATAGCTAATCCCGATGCCACATAAGCATCTGTAAATCCGTAATCTTTTATCGATTTCAATATAACACAAATACTCACATCTTTCTTAAGACGAGTGCAGAAAAAAGGGTTATTGTGGATGCAAAATCATTGAATTTATTTTCCTAATACTTGTGAAAAGTTGCAACTTCTGTTACGAGATGAATTCAGTAATCGTGCATCTACTTTAGCATTTTCCCTCATTCCCCTTTAAGCACGGTGTCCTGATTTGCAGTACTTAAACTCGATATGGATTATGGCTTGACGGATTACGGATGCTTATGTGGCTTTAGGAGGATTAGCTAATCCTAATGCCACATAAGCATTCGTTAAAGTAATCCCTTGTGTCAAAGTAATAGTTCCACTGTGTGTATTATTATCTTGGATAGCTATTTTGGTCATCGAAAATGCATTTGTTGATGGTCATTTGTAATAAATAAGTTGACGGTTTTATCCTTATGTATCTCAGGTCCCCTTAATTTGAAATGTTCCGGACAAGGTCTCCGATCTTATAATGCCCAACTCGCGCACGTGGAACTTGGAGCTTCTCGATACTACGTTCTGGCCGGAACAGAATTCTCACGACTCCCATCGGCAGCACTCACGCCCAAGGACCGACTGGTGTGGCGGCACTATTTCCGTTCCGGCGATTTCACGGTCAAGTCTTGCTACCACAACATCATGCACCGCCACGTAACTGACTGTGGAAATCAAGATTCAGGGAATTCCTCAGCGAAGACAAAAGAGTTTTGGAAGTTTCTTTGGCATCTGCATATTCCACCGAAAATCAAGATCTTTATCTGCCGGGCTGCGGTGGGATATTATCCCGACTAATGTTGCTCCATTCCGAAGGCACATCTCTTGTAATCCGTTTCGTTCTTCAGATTTATGAATGAAATCGTCTTTTATAATTAAGGGCATTAATTACTAATGAAAAACGAGATGTCGTGCAAGTTTTCCAACACAGTGGGGGTTTTATGTCTTTTGATCTAACATCAAATCTAAAATATATAAACTTGTGCTTTTCAAATCTATTCTTGAATTTCTTCTGTGTGTATAAAAAGAAAGAAAAAAATAATTACATATTTAGGTCCCACCGAGACTTGAACTCGGGTTACTGGATTCAGAGTCCAATGTCCTGACCACTAGACCATGGGACCGTTTTTGTTTTAAAACAAGAATATATTATTACTTATTTAATAATATATAAAGGCTGGTTTATATATATTTATTGCAAAGAAGCTTGCAACCAACTCTTTATCACACAACCATCTCTTTATCACACAAGCACAGATTATAAACAAGGGGGAATATGGCAAACACCCTCCATTCGATTTTTTATTCTTGATAAATCCATAATTAATTAATGATTTTTGAGATAAGTCCATTGGACTTGAAAATCCGTATATGCCCCCACTAAAAAATTAAACTAAATATTACGGTACTTTAATACCAAATCCCTCCCAAAAATAAATCAAAACCCATATCAATCCCAAAATCAAATTGACGTATATTTCGCCTCTCTTCCCCCCAAATCACGGTAGAAAAAACCACTCCGGCTAAGCCCATTATCCCCCGTTTTCTGCAATGCCCCACACTACGGTAGAAGACGTTCTTCTTTTACGCTGAAATCAGAGACGAAAACTGCTAGAGGAAGCGAAATTTCATCGTATTTTTGTACAACGGCAAGATGGTACAAAAATCAGCAGCGAAAAGTAAGTAATCGGTGTCACCATAGGTTGATTCCGTTCAATTAGTAGAAAACCACAATAAATCGAAATGGGTGTTCTCATTGTTTTGTGCATGTGCAAGTTGTAATCTGTATTTTTTTACAGGGAAAAGGAAATCCAAAACCGGTCCTGACATTATGCCCGTAGATGCTGGTGAGTTTTTAAATCCGTAAATTGTGAAAAAATGTTTCAATTTTGTTTTGTTTTTGGGATGGGTGTTTGCCCAATTACAGTTTCGAAGTGCATTCTTAATTTGGAAACAACTTATTTGGTTCCAAAATAATGTTTGAAGTGGAAGTCTGTTACTTGGATGTTTTGCACATCCTGGTATGTATATGTTCAAACATTTAAGTGTTAATGTGGTTTTTCCTGGGTTTTGTTGTTACAACCAAAATATATACTTTCCTTTGTTTTAGTGGTTTTAAGGGTTGAGCTCAAAACCACCACAAAAGTCTCAAAATCTATTTATGTATTAGTGGTTTTCAGCAACCATATTTACATGCTATTTTGTTCGTCTGGTTATATGAGTTGGTTTTTAAACCACAAAAAAATATGTGGTTACGATTTAGTGGTTTTGAGTTTGAAACATATTCGGTGGTTTTTGTAGTAAGTTTGTTTTTCGTAGATATTAAGTGTAATATGTGTTCTTAATGGTACTCGAATAAGTGGTTTTCATTCATGGTCTTTATTCGGTGGTTCTGTATTAAGTGTATTAAGTGTTCTAAATGGTATGCGATTAAGTGTTGTGATTGGTGCCTTAAATAAGTATGTGGTTTTAATTATGTGGTTTTGAAAAATGTTATGTGTTTATGAATTAAGTGCAGTTGGTACAAATGTTGTGTAATTTATGTATGTTTTGCTTCAGAATTTAAAAAAAAAAATGTATGTGTCGTGATTCAACTTGTTCGGAAGTGTGCAAGAATGTTTTTTTTTTTTCCTTTAATGGTGTTATCTAAAACCACTTAATGGTACGTTTTGTATTGTTTTTTAAACAGTTTTCATCAGTGCGTTGTTTTGGTGCTTGTATGAATGTTAATTAGTGTTGGAGTGTATGAATATATATTACTATACATATTCAGTTGTTTATGCACTGATATGTGGTTGTCAATCAATGCATAACCAACGATATTTTAACTTTTTATTCGTAGATGATATGAAGAAATTGGGACAAACCGTCCGGCAAGAAAAAACATGGACGCGACAATTCCGTGGTGGAATCTGTAAAACTGTCACCTTCTTCCGTGACATGCCTCTACGACAACCACATTTAGACTGCCTGCGGAAAACACTACGTTAATGTACCCCTGTACCAATAAAACAATGAAATCGTGAACATCACTCTGTTATTTACTGAAAACCACTTTTATTTTGCCACGTAGATGCATTCATATTAACATAATTTTGAACCCATAAAAAAACATGATTATTATGGGTATCGGATATTATGTGTGAAAACCACTCTGAATTTTCAAAAAAGTTCGATCGGCTATATGTTAAAAATCACATACCAATGTCGGGGAAAACCACTCTGTATTCATATTAACATATTTTTGCACAAAAATAAAAATCATTAATATTATGGGTGTCGGCTATTATTCGTAGACACCACTCTGTATTTTGAAAGGTTCGTATATGCTAACAACCGCGTAACAATGGCTAGGAAAAAAACAGTTGCTTTCATGTACACATAATTTCGAACACCAAAAAAAAAAAAAAAAAGAAAGAGAACATGACTGTTAAGAACTTACAGAGTTTGAGTAATAGCACGAGAACCACTCTGTATGTTGTTAATATGAAACGTTATGCTCGTACAATTGGATCGGTAGAGGAAGTGTGGAAAAATACAGATATCTATGAAACGGTTTCTCTGTAATTAAGGGGCGCAATCGTGGGATATGATGATGTGTTGTTACTATAAAATAGGAAAATATATTACAAATCTTTTTTAATTTTTTTTATTTCCAATCATAAAACATACGTTACTTTTAAGTTAGGGGTATAATAGTGATAATTTATTATTTTTTATTATTTAATAATTAAATGGATTTATCTCAAAAAGTTCTAAAAAAAATGGATCTAGTGTAATTAGACATGTGTAATGGGGGACTTTTGACAAATAATCCCTATAAACAAATATTACTTTCATTCTTAAATTATTCTCTCAAAACATATTTTTCTAAAATAAAATTAAAATAACTCCCAAAATCATTCCAAACATTGTCATAGCTTGCCAAATAGTTTTTCATTAATGTGAAATAGATTGTCTTATATAAGTAAAGTAAAATCGCAATCAAAAGTTAGCTTGCAGGCCACCTACTCTAACATAAACTCGTAAGCCAGTTCCAGTGGATCATTTTTTTTATTTAATACTTTAATTAAAACTCAATAACTACACACATATTCCTTGATTTCTTCACCAATTCACCACATCTCTTTGACCAATATCTATCGCAAAATTCTCTTACATTCTTTTATAAGTTATATTGGCAATGCTTGTAAGATTTCCTTCTTCCTAATATTTTAACAAAGTCAAGCTCCCATTCAAATATATTCCAAATAAAATGCAAAGTCATGTATGATAAAATTCGTTAGTCCTTAATTATATATATATTTTTTATTATTTTTTCTTTAATTTTAATGAAATCAAGTATAGACTAATCACAAGTTTCAATCAGAAGTTGACTATGGTTCTTTGCAAAAGAAACGTAGAAAAGAAGCATTCGATGGAATTCGGTTCGATCTGGTTCGACTCAATCACATACATCAGATCAATCCATTCCTAGTGGAATTTTCTAAATTTGAATGTATGGATACAGAGGTTGATATACGTGTAGCGAATACAAAGGAGCCGTTTCAATTCGAATAATTGAGTTATCTTATTATTTTTTGTAACATTACCACTGTTCTTAATTCAAATTATTATTCTTCTTGTAATAGTGCAATCATTCTCAATGAATTATTATTTGGCAAAATTATAGTTTCTCATCTCTCAAATTTGTAGCGATTTCACATTTGACCCCCAAGTAAGAAAATATATATTTGGTCCCTCATGTTTCAATAATTTAATACTTCTGGTCATTTTTGTTAATTTATCGTTAGTCCGTCAGTTAAGGCAGTGATGGTTACACACTAGATTCCGTTAGTTTTAGCAGAAAATTGACGAAAAAAACTAAAAATACTGCATTTTTGAAACATGAGGGACCGAATGTATAATTGGTACAAACTTGAGAGATGAAAACTGTATTTTTTCAATTACTCTTCTCCTTGTAACATTTATTACTGCACTACGTTTACTGATTTCTTCTCGCTTTAATCCATTCATTATAGGTTTATTTAAATTGATTAAACAACAATTAAATTACTTTTTAACCCAAAAAGAACGAAAATAAAAGGATTCGACGGTCAAAATAAAATACAAATGCTACCAAACACTGCCCAAGTAATTTCAATTAAGGGTAAATTACGCCACCCCAGAGGTACGGTTAAATTACGAAAAACACCTCATGTCTGGGCAATTACAATCACCCCTAACTATGAATCTTTTTACACGTCCATCTTTGTACTGTCAAATTCAGTGGAATCTTCTATATTATGTGAAATATTCTCCAATTTACACCCGTTTACCCGGGTTTTTGGCACTTTGCACCCTTGAATTACATCATTTTGGCACTTTGCACCCTTAAATTGCAAAATTGGCAGATTGCACCCTTTAAACATAAATTGTTTGGCACTTTGCACCCCAAATCAGTTTTAGCTTAGAAAAATTACCTGCAACTTGTTGAAAACCTGAAAGATGGGCAAATTCGCAATTCTATAATCATCTATCATCTTCCCCCAATTCTTAATCATCCTTCCACCATTTTTATATTTCGTCCTATTAATCAAAAAATCTTAAATTCTTCTTAGCCGTTTCTTTTGCCATAATATGTCAATTCTGAATTAAAACTCAAGAATGGTCGGGCCGAAATATATAGACAAGAGTCCGATAACACACCTTCAGAAAATCAAGTTTTATTCCATGGCAACGCTATTTTTTTTTCTTCTAATAATTTTGCAGATCCAAACTATTTAATGAGAACACAAAAATCTTCCCATCATAAAACTAATAGGCACCACCTTTCTACCACCAAATAAAATTCTCAGTAGCCTTATTTTGAATTTGACTATTAAAAAAAATATTGAGGGCTCGGCCTAAAATTACCAGTTATATTATTTTTCATACTCAAAAGAAAAAAAAGTGATTTACTATTATTGTTCAGTATTTATACCGATTTTATCATTGAAAGAAAGGGCTAAAAAGATTTTAGGATTTTTTGATTGGAAGGATGAAAGATAAAAATGGTGGAACGGTGATTAAGAATTGGGGGAAGAGGATAAATAATTAGAGAATTGCGAATTTGCCCATCTTTCAGGTTTTCAACAAGTTGCAGGTAATTTTTCTAAGCCAAAAGTGATTTGGGGTGCAAAGTGCCAAACAATTTATGATTAAAGGGTGCAATCCGCCAATTTTGCAATTTAAGGATGCAAAGTGCCAAAAGGGTATAATTTAAGGGTGCAAAGTGCCAAAAACCCCATTTACCCCATTCAAGCTCCACATTTTGCAATAAGATGATCATAATACGTATCTCTTGGCTTACAAATCTGTGGTGTATCAGAAACTGCATTTTCGCACAAAACGAGTAAAAACTAGATAAGATTCCATGGAATTCCAGAAAATTCAGTGGAATCTGACACTTTAAAGGGTGAACGTATAAGAAAATTCATAGTTGAGAGGGTTTGTTATAATTATCCAAACATAATGAGTTTTTTTCGTAATATAACATTACATCAGGGGCGGCCGTAATTTACCGAAAATTTTCAAAAACGCGCAGTTGAAATGACGAACAATTCATTAGTTACCACAAAAGCGTACATCTACACTCTCCTTGCTATTGTCAGCACTTCTTTTTCAATTGGGGAAATTAAAAAACCAAACCAGAAATCAAAATCTTCTCTGTTCTTTCTCTCTCTACAGATAACAGAGGGAAAATCATAGCATAAAATTGCAAGTTGTTGTTTGTTCGTTGTACTCGACACCTCTCCTGAAATCTGAAATCTCAATTTTTTTAAATTTTTTTAATCGATCGAAGATTATAATCATCATTTTCCCCAGCAATTTATTCGTTTTCTGTGCGAAATTTCAGTTATGGTTACGTGGATTGTATTGAAAAATTAAGAGTGTGTTTTAGGGTATTGCGACGTGATTTTGACGGAGTGATGATGCTGTGATCTGAGGGTTTGAGAGAATAGGGTAAAAAAAAATGGCGGGGGCAGGGGGTGTAAATCTGGAGAAATTCGAGGAGTATTTCCAGAGGGCGGATGTGGATCGTGACGGCAAAATCAGTGGAGCTGAAGCTGTTAATTTCTTGCTGGGATCTAATTTACCCAGACAAGTGCTTGCGCAGGTCAATTTTTTTTCTTCCTCCTCCTAATCCCTTAGCATAATTTTTGGATCTATTTCTTTATGATTGTAATTCCATGAATCAATTTAAGGAATCCGCTGAATTAGTGAATTTTGAGCTTTTACATGTTTAGATATTTTTTTTTGAAGTTTGAAATGTGTTTGCTTAGTATTGAAGAAAATGTATGAGGGTTTTAGTAAGACTGGTGTGAAGTTAATAGAATTACTGATTTTTGAAGTTAGAGATGGTGAAATGTATGATACCATTTGCTCTAATGATAATTGTGATCAAGAAACTTGTAGCTATCTTACATAGATTTTACCGAGACATGGAATGAATGCCGTTGATTGTTAGAACCATGATCTTTACTTATAATTAAACTATTCGAAATGATTTTCGACTCCTTGTCACGAAACGAGGCATTGTGTTTATTTATCTCTTTTCTGCTCTGGATGGAAATAACGATCGTTATTCTTCTCGATGAGTTCATTCTTCTTTGGGCGAGCTTAGTGTCTGTGAAATGCAGATATTAGTTTTGTTGATGAAAGTATAGTTCGGATGTTTATTGAATGTTTGGTTTGTTGCAGATATGGGCGCATGTCGATCAGAATAAGATTGGCTTCCTCAATCGTCCTGAGTTTTATAATGCTCTTAAACTTGTTACAGTGGCTCAAAGCAAACGAGAATTGACAGCAGATATTGTCAAGGCTGCTCTATTTGGTCCTGCTTCATCCAAAATACCACCCCCACAAATAAATACAGCTGGCGCGCCTGTGCTGCCGCCAAACACAGTAGCTGCCACACCTGTGCCACCACCTTTACCACAGGTGGGTGCAAATGCCCAGCCATCTCCTCAAAGTTTTGGATTGAGAGGGCCTTCTCCTTCTATAACGGGGGTCAATCCGCAGTTTGGAAATATGCCTTCAACTACAGGAATGAATCAACAATTTAGACCAATCCCTTCATCTACAGGAATGAACCAACAGTTTAGACCGATGCCTTCATCTACAGGAATGAACCAGCAATTTGGACAACAGTTACAACCGTCAAACACGAATATGAACCAGCAATTTGGACAACCGTCGCAACCTTCAAGCACGAATATGAACCAGCAATTTGGCCAAACGTTGCAACCTTCAAGCACAAATACGAACCAGCAATTTGTACATTTGCAACCTTCAAGCACAAATATGAACCAACAGTTTTTCCCTTCTCAAGTTAATCAGATGAGACCGCCTCAATCAATGCCTACAGGTATTGCCTCACGTCCACCTCAGGCTGCTATGACTACTACAAATATTTCGGGGGGTCCTGGTCTTCAAAACCCAAATGATGATTGGCTTGGTGGAAGAAGTGTTTCAGCTCCCACTGGACCTGTAACACAAGTCTTAAACAGAGGAGCTAGTCCCTCCATTTCGCCAGTTGCTCCAAATCCCCAAGATCCATTTTCAACCTTTTCTTCGACAGCTGTCAAGAATACTAAAGGATTAGTTAGTTCAGGAAATGGGCCTGCTACAAATTCCATGATTACAGGAGATGTGTTCTCCACCAATCAATTTCCCTCCCAGAAAGTTTCCTCTGCACCACAACAACCAATGAGCAGTTTGCCGACCTCTTCAGCCATTGTTCCTGTTGCTTCAAGTCCCCAGCCCTCGGCGAAGCCTGACCCTTTTGAGGTTTTCGGAAGCACTCTTATGAAACCATCTAGCGGGGTTCAGGTTGCACAGACACCGTCTCTCCCTAAATCTACTCAGCAGGCTCCAACTCCAACCAGTTCTTCCGTCTTGTCAGCCGGAGTACAAACTGGTGTTGGGAATTCAGTATCTGAGCCGCCTCAGGTTGCATGGCCAAAAATGACACGTGCTGGCATTCAAAAGTATGCAAAAGTTTTTGTGGAAGTAGACACTGATAGAGATGGGAAAATCACTGGTGTTCAGGCACGTAATCTGTTCTTGAGTTGGAAACTACCACTAGGTACAACATGTTGTAGCTATTTTCAGTTCTTATGGTTGAAAATTTTGTTTATTTATCGATCATTCTGTGTTTGTTTTAGTCATTTAGAGTGCTTATTGAACTTACATGCACAGACACTTTACAGTGTACGTTTTCTGGTTTTTGGATTACGTTGAACTGCATGTGTTGATGTCAACTTGTCTACCTTTGAATCATCACGAGTTAAGACTTTTCGAACTGTTAAAATTGAATTCTGGTTTAGGTTATTCCTCTTTGACAGTCCATTTGGAGGTTTGCTTTGTTATGTCACACTCAGTCCAATTAGTTATCATTCCTTCATGAATTTATGACATCATCCCGAAGATCAAGATCAACTGAACAATACGGAAAACATTTATATAAGTACCAGTTATCTCTTTTTTTGCCTCTTAGGTAATGGAAATCTTATAAATCCCTTTGTTCTGCTCTGTAAACACATTCCCTATTTCATGAAGCACCTTCTTGCCATTATTCTTCTAGTCTAGAACTGCTTGCTATTTTATTTTTTTCATTATACATGTGCTGTCACAGACTCACAGTCACTGCTTTACATTTGGAGCTGTGAAGCTTATTATTAAGTTAATCTATTTGAGGAGTCTTAAGTTGACGTAATTGTCCGTGGGCAAACTATTTTCTCCAAATACATTGATCTGTATCAAATCATCTGTATAGATTTTTAATTGTCTCATTAGGGAGTAAAAGTATATTATCACCTATGCATCTGCATAATCACTTTTTCTTTTCCCAATTATTCAAAAAACTTTCAGAGTCTTGGATACTAACAATAGTTTTGGTGACAATTTCCAGAGGTATTAAAGCAGGTATGGGATTTATCCGATCAAGATAGTGATAGCATGCTCTCTTTGAGGGAGTTTTGCATTGCACTCTATTTAATGGAGCGATACAGGGAAGGACGCCAACTTCCACCCTCACTGCCCAACAGTGTAATGCTCGATGAAACTCTGCTGTCTTTGGCAGGTCCACCTTCAGCTTATGGAAACACGGGTTGGGGCCAATCTACTGGTACTGAATTTGACTTTGCTGATTTTTCATTTCAATTTTCATCGTTCTTATTTGGTTCCATAATACTTATTTTTCTCTTGACATTTAGGCTTAAGACCGCCGCAAGGCTTGCATGGTGCCCAGCCTGTTACACCTGTTGGTTTACGGCCCCCATTGCAGCCAATAGTTTATCAGGCTGATGGGTCGATGCAATTCAATCAGAACAATGGCCGAGGTCCTATGATAGAGAATTCCCACCCCAGTCAGGTCAGCAATGGGGAGGAGAATTCCTTGGAAGTTGAGGGCCGGGAGGCAGCAGGAACCAATGAAAAGGTAGGTATTTCCATTTACACATATTTGTCTTGTTATCTATTAACTTTAGACTAAGTTATAGCATGCTTGCATAATTATAACGCTCAAACTTAGGATAGTACTTCTTTGAAAAATAATTCCTACGCAGGAGAAGTTTCTTTGGTAATATTTTTTCTCAGAATTGGCAAAAGTTTATAATAATTTGATCAAGAATGACTTACCTTGAGTAAGGATGTCAGAGAGCATGATGTTTTATTTGTTCTTGATGACTTTATAATCAGCGACACCTCAAAAAACAATTTTCTCTTTTTTGGCAACATGAGGTTATAGCTAATGTGGTTTTGGTTCTTGGTTTGATCGGACAATGGACAAGCATTAGATTTAACCCCTATCTCTTGCATGTTCTTGAACAAGAGGCTTTTGTAAGAGTTAATTTGACGCACTAATTTTGATCATGCCAGGTAGACAACAAGGAGAAGGAGATTTTGGATTCCAGAGAGAAGCTTGAATTCTACCGAACGAAAATGCAAGACCTTGTGAGCTACTGTACTCTTGTGTATCTGTTTCTTATTTACCATCATTGTGGACTCATGCATTGCCTACAACTGATAAACGTTGACTTGGGGTTAATTTCCTCTTTAAACCTCTACGTTTGGTTATAATTCCCAAACCTTTTCTTCTCTGCTCTCTCAAATGATTATCCTGCATAGTTTATTTTAGAACTTGTCTTCCAAATCCTATACCAAAATCCCTAAATTTTTTTCATCCCTTTTATACGAAATGGTTTATTTGCATAATTTACATGTATATATATATATACATAAACTTATCTTACATTCTTTATCAAAATTTCCTTTCAGGTTTTGTATAAAAGTAGATGTGATAATCGGCTCAATGAAATTACAGAAAGGGCAAGAGCCGACAAAACTGAGGTATAGTTTGAAATTTGAGATACATGCTAGTGCTCTAAACTTCTTGTTTATGTGGCTGTATATTTTTCATTAGTTTTTAAGAAAATTCCTCTTAATTTCCAGGCCGAGTTGCTTGAGAAGAAATATCAAGAGAAATACAAGCAAGTTGCAGAAGTTCATTCTAAATTAACTATTGAAGAGGCTTCCTTTCGTGAAGTTCAGGTGACTTTCACATGCATCCTACTACCCTTCTTGACTTTGTCAACTTGTTTGCTTGACTGACTTATGAAGGAGCATTAAATCTTTAAATTTGGGATCTTATTAACGGGCATTTGGTACAATGTCTTAGGTCTAGAGTATTTGTGGTTTGGTTATGAATGATGATTGGTGTTCCTTTTGCATTTCCTATTCAAAAGATTTAATTCTCCCTTCTTGATTTGTGTCATAAAATAAGATTAGAAATGATAATTACGAATATCCCCAATTTAAAATATGCATCTTGATTTAGTTGCAAGTATTAATTCAATCACATGAATTGTTTTTGAAAAATGAATTTTGTGCACAAAGATATGGCCAGCCATTTTACCTTTCATTCCCCCTGCACTTCAATCACCATTTAACTGATTCAGAAAGCAATGTATCACATTTTCTAGGAGAGAAAGATGGAGTTGCATCAAGCAATCATTAAAATGGAACAAGGTGGAAGTGCAGATGGTATTCTTCAGGTGAGTAGGCAACTATAATGGGATGCATTTCAGTTTTATAAGCCTTCTCTTTGAATATACTTATTTTTTTTAACTCCAATGCGTTCTTGGTTTGTTTAGGTGCGTGCTGATCGTATACAATCAGATCTTGAGGACCTATTGAAGGGATTGACCGATCGATGCAAGAAACATGATCTAGAGATGAAGTCAGCTGCAATGATTGAGCTTCCTCCTGGTAATTTCTGTAACTCTTGGCCGTTTTTGCATTTGATTTTACCTACTCATTGGCCAATTCAGTCATGTGACTTTATTTTGTTAAGGTTGCTATGTTTGACGCCCCTGCATGTTAACTCTTTAAGGGATTTATTTTTAGAAAGATATCCCCCCTTACGCTTGAAAAATCTTCATCTAATGAACTATACAACCCTTGGGTTTATACCAATAAACAAAAAAGAAAAAGTTTCAACAACGAGTTTCTAAACCGAATTGAAGCTTTAGACAAAGAGTCTATTTCGTTGAATATACTCAAAACAAGAACTCAATTGTGTAATGATGATTCTACAAAAGAGTACTTATTCAAAAGGTATGATCCTTTCATCAACGGATCATATCGGAAACAAATTTACAAAAACACTTCAGCTTCAATCCTAGAAGAAACTTTGATTTTTTTTTTTTTTTGTTTTCTTTTTCATTTGTTCCTTTTGTTTTTTAATATTTTATTTCCCTTGCTATGCAGAAGCTTTGATGAACCTAGTTGGGGTAATTATGACAACAACGACGACGTTGATTCAGTCTGGGGCTTTAATGCTAAAGTAAGTAGTTCTGTGGCAAGTTTGCTCTTATTATGTTTATCATGGGACCAACATGCTTTTATCAAATTTATCGCGTAGTATGGTTGAATAAACTGCACGAGATATGTCAAGTCTGCATGTGATCAATTTTAATTTGCTAAAAAGGGACTTTGGCTTCTTGCACCTGCTCTTATTAGGTGGTGTTTGCAAAAGCTTTTGAAAAAGTGATTATGAACTTTTTCAGTTATTAACTAGTTTTTAAGTTGTTGCAAATGTTGTTATTGCTTTTGCTTTTGATTCTCTTAAAATAAAGATGTTTTAAGCCATAATTCCAAAAACATCTCTGCATCAGCTTTTGGGCTTAAAGCTACATTGGACATTTATGTCATTATTATTTATATTTCAAAATCCAATTACTAAGGAGATTTAAGACAATTTACCACAATAAGCCGCAACTTAAATTTTGTTTTGCAAACACATCAACTTATAAATTAACTGCGTAAATCTGTTTTTTAATGACATCTGCTTTTACATAATCTTTTGCAAACACCCCTTAATTGTCTGCTCTTATTATGTTTATGAATTATGCTTTTGATAACCTAATTCTGTGCTATATATCTACACCCTTTCGATACCTAAAGCTATACTTACACCTCACCATTATCACTATCTCACAATCAGGATTCGGATCATACAAAGCACGAAGATAAATATTTCTACGAATCCCACAATGATTTTGGTGCAAGCCCAGAAATAAGTGGTTCCCCTCATACAAAGAACAGCCCGTATACCTTTGAAGAGTCTATTCCTGGAACCCCACTTTCGAGGGCCGAAGAATATTCTCCAAGAAACAGCATCGAATCGAGAGATCACCTCTTTGACAACAGCTTTTCGAGGTTTGATTCGTTCAGTGCAAACGACGGTGGCTCTCAACCCTATAGAGAGAGCAACCTCACTCGATTCGATTCGATGAGTAGCACAAGTGGATTTGGTCACAGCAGCAACTACTCGTTTGACGACTCGGACCCGTTTGGCTCCACTGGTCCGTTTAAGGTCTCGTCGGAAAATCAAGAAAAGAAGTTTTGAGAATTCAGAGTGTGATTTAAATTGCTTTGGGAGATTGTATACCCTTGAGAACTCAAATCAGAGTGTTTTGATGTATCTGTGCCACTGAAGATTGTAGACTGAAGCATACACTAAAAATCGAAAATGAAAATCAGAATCTACCGGAGAAAAAAAGGCATTTTCTTTATTAATTTTTTTTTTCAATTATTTTTTTAATTTTCTGGTATTGGTTTTCTGTTTTTTTTTTTTTTTTGGGGGGGGTTGGCAGTGTGAATTGGTGTAAGAAATATATTGGCTAGTGTGTTATTGACAGCAAACATTCAGTATGTAAACCTTTGTAATGATATTTCATATTCATGTATTCTATTTTTTTTGGATAAAGGAGGTTTGATTGGACAAAACAATCTGGAAGCAATGTTTGTTAAGGTTATGAAATTCTTCCAATTTTTATCTCCTAATGAATTTATGCTTTTTGAGTTTATTCAAAAATTGATTTGATTCATCAATTAAATTACAAACAAAAATCATTTTAATATTTATTACTGTTTGTTGGAATAAATTAGTGAAGCTCAATCTTATAGAACAATAAAATTTATTCCAAAACTACTCCTGATATATGTAGCACGGACACGGTAACGGCAATGAGGGGAAACGATATGCCCAGACAATGGGAATACGGGAGCTCAGGCGAAATGTATGAATATTAAAATTATAGGAGTGTATTTATAATATGATATATAAACATATATAGTTTTTATTTATATATTTTCATACAACAGACATAAATTTTACTATCAACTATCAATTTGTATTGATCATTTAAATTATGTAAATAATTAGGGGAACAACAAAAATATCTGAAAATTTGCAATTCAAACATGTTTCTAATTTTTTAGAAATTGCAAAATGCCCCAATTATGTACATAGCTAATTTTTCGATTACACAATTATGTACGAAACTTGAATCTAGTCACAATTATGTACGAAACTTGCTAATTTTTCGATTACACAAAAACAATGTTGAAAAAAAAGGCGAGACTAGAGAGATTTTTTAGGGTTAGGTTGCATGATCATATTAAATTGTAATTCTGACATAATTTCCACACTACTTTTAGTTCTACAGTAGAACCTCGATAAATTAATACTCTCGCTTAAATAATAATTCTTCCGTTCCCGATTCGATATAAATATACTAAATTATTAGTTCGACAATTTAATATTTCACTAAATTAATAGTATTTTATTACTCCTGATTATATTAATTTATGGAGGTCTAGCTACTTAATAACTAACTTCTCATTTTCTCATTCTCAAAAAATAAAATAAAAAATAAAAAATTAAAATCTCATTTTCTCTCTTGCAAAATCATATCAGCAAGAATGAGATATTTATTCAAGGTTGGAACTTTTCATTCGATTTCTTGCAATAATTTGATAATTTCACAATTTATTGCATATAGACTTGTTCAGAAAGATTGCCTTTCAATTCTGTCATCAAAATCACTGGAAAATCCCAAGAGAGTTGATAAAGAGTTGCATGGTTTCGGGGCCCTGTTCGATGAAATTCTCGGAATTTTAGGAACTGAAAGTATTGCGGCGGATAGAGATGCTCCATGTGGGTTTTCGATATCGAAAGAATCGCAGTTGAAACGAAATATGGCAGGTGTAGAATCACCACTGCACCAGCTGCAAGGTGTTTGTGAAAATGCCGAGGAGAAATCAGACCATATAAATATTGGGAATTTATCGGCTTTAGGAGATAACGAGAATGCGGTTTCGGATGAAATCGAATTCGAGGATGTTTATCCAATCGTTCGTAAGGTGACTGAGATTGTTAGGACTGAAAACGGTGTGCCCCCGATGGAGGAGAGGCTCGAAAAAGCTGATTTTAATTACAATGAGGAAGTTGTCGAGAAGGTATTGAAGAATTGTTTCAAGTATCCTCATTTGGCTTTGCGGTTTTTCAATTGGGTGAAACTTAGTAAAGGGTTTCGGCACACGACGAACACTTTTACTATGATGATAAACGTAGCTGGGGAAGCTAAGGAGTTGAGTTTGGTGGAGGATTTAGCCGAAGAAATGGTGAGGAGTTCTTGTAATATGAATGTTAAGACGTGGACTATTCTTCTGTCGCATTATGGTAAATCAAGATTGATTAGCAAATCCTTATTGGTGTTTGAGAACATGAGAAAATCTGGTGTCGAGCCTGATGCAATTGCCTATAAAATAATGCTCGGTGCTCTCTGTAATGGTGGAAGATCCGATCTTGCATTGGAGTTCTACAAAGATATGGTACATAATGAGGTGAATTTAGATTTGGGCTTGTGTAAACAATTACTTAAGTGCTTTGCATTGTCTGGAGATGTTACTTCCGTTTATTTAGTCGGTGAAAACATGAAAAAAAATTCCGAGATTTCCGAACCTCAGATTTACCATTTAATGCTGAAGAGTTTCTGTATTGCAGGGAGAATAAGAGAATCTTTAGAATTAATTCGTGACTTGAAGAATAAGAACGTTATTCTCGATGCTGGAATATTTGAAACATTAGTGAAAGGGCTTTGTAGCAAAGATAGGATTACGGATGCAATGGAAATACTTGAAATAATGAAGAAAAAGAACGTATTTGATGAGAATATATACCGAATTCTTATAAGTACGTATCTGAGAAGAAATGAAGTCGCTGAAGCACTTAGTCTTTTCGAAGAAGCGAAAAAATACGGAAATATCTCGGTCTCTACTTACACGAATTTGATGCAACACCTTTTCTGGAAGAACGAATTTCAGAAGGGGTTGGAGCTCTACGATGAGATGCTCGAAATGGGATTGGAATTAGATTGTGTGGCTATAACTGCTGCGGCTGTTGGTTATGTTCGAAAAAATTGTATTTCCGAAGCATGGGAAGTATTCATGAGTATGGATGAAAAAGGAATCAAGCCAACTTCCAAATCGTACACGATTTTCATTAATGAGCTCTGTAAAGTTTGCAGTACAGATGAGATTATAAAGACGTTGAATGAAATGAAGGTTCGAAAAGTGAATATTCAAGATGATATCTTTAGGCACGTTCGATCTCACCTGAAGAAGAAAGGAGAGACAGAGAAGCTCGATGGGGTACTAATTGATGGTCAATGCAGTCAACCAAAATCAGTAGGAAAATCGGAACCCGATCGAATAGTTCAAGAAAGGTTGTCAAAATACTCTGCGGGCCCTGCAAGATTCGATGGAAATTCTGATATGCAAGAAATTCGACAAATTTTATCTGGCTCATTTGATTGGTGTTTTATACAAGAGAAATTGGAGAAGCTGAATTTCCAGTTTTCTCCAGACTTAGTGGTGGAAATTTTGCGTAGTAGTGCACTTAATATTACCAATGCCTTGAAGTTTTTCTCGTGGGTTGGGGCAAAAACCGGTTATAACCACAACGAACAATCGTACAACATGGCATTGAAAATTTCAGGTCAAGGCAAAAACTTCAAAGAAATGAGAAATCTCTTTCACGAGATGCGGAGAAAGGGTTGCTTAATAACACCCGACACATGGACAATCATGATAATGCAGTACGGTCGAACCGGGTTGACCGATATTGCTTTGGAAATTTTCGGAGAGATGAAAATTAGTGGTTGTAAACCGGATAAAAGCACGTACACTTATTTGATCACTTCTCTTTGTGGCAAAAAAGGCAGAAAAACCGACGAAGCAATTCGCTTATATCAAGAAATGCTTCGAGTGGGGTTTGCTCCTGATAAAGAATTGGTCGAAACCTACGTCGGATGTTTATGCGAAGTCAATAAATTATCCGATGCGAAGAATTGCATCGATTCTTTACGTAAATTCGGTTTCTCAATTCCATTATCTTACTCCTTATACTTCAGGGCCCTTTGTCGGGCAGAGAAATTGGAGCATGCTTTAGCTTTGATGGATAAAATCGGTTCCGAAAAAAATCTTCTTGATCAGTACACATATGGCAGCTTAATTCACTGTTTGCTACGAAGGGGGCGATTGGAAGATGCATTGGCAAAGATAAAATGTATGGAGAAACAAGGCGTTCATCCAACTGTACATGTGTACACATCTTTAATAATTTATTTTCTTAAGGAGAAAGAAATAAATCGAGCGTTGGAAACGTTAGAGGAAATGAAGAAACGGGGTTGTCAGCCTACGATCGTTACTTATTCAGCTTTGATTTGTGGGTACGTGAGATTGGGGAAGATTACGGAAGCTTGGGATGTTTTCGGTAATATAAAAAAGAACGGCCCGTTACCCGATTTCAAGACATACTCCATGTTTGTGGACTGCCTATGTAGAGTAGGAAAGTCCGAAGAAGCTTCTAGACTTATTTCGGAAATGCTGCACGATGGGATTATTCCGAGCACAATTAATTTTCGGAATATTATATATGGTCTGAATAGAGAAGGCAAACCGGATTTAGCACGGGTTGTGCTGAAGAAAAAGTTGGATATCAAAAGCAGAAGAAAAATGGTAACTCTTATAATTTTTCCTTGGAAATTAACAGCTCCTATAATTTTTATTTATTTATTATTTTTTAAATTAATTAATGAATTTATTAATATGCAGTAACTCGAGTTCGGAGGGAATATTAAGAAGCTCGTTTACTTTGAGATTGCTCTTAGAAATCAGCTCGTCGATGGCAAGTTAAATTGCACGGTAAGTTCATATCTTATCTGCAAATGATAAGAGCCATCCATCGAACGAGGAGATACGAATAAAGATAAGCGATTTGGCTTATTAGGTTCCGCCATTTTAAAGATGGGGTTTGTTCGTGTGGGGATTACTGGTGACATATTCGACTATATATGAACATCTTTTGCTAAGAATCGGGATCGCTTCGAGGTATTTTATTTTATTTTTTAATTATTTTGTTATGCCACTAATAAGATGCTTTAATTTACTTGTTCTTTTTTGAGTTGCTTTCAAAACCAGTTTAACGATGAAGCTGCTCGAAGAATTTTCGAAACCTCATTTTCTCTCTCCGACAAGTGCAGATGATAAACGGAACATGTCTTAACTGTATTACCTCGTCATCGTAATTTGTGATACGTACATATATATGCAGGTATAGTCGTGCCATCTTCTTTAGAAAAGTTTCCGCATTCTACATTCGAGCCGATGAAGAATTGAGCAGGACTACAGCTTCAAATGTTTAAGCAAAACTATGCATGTGGTTATATCCTAAGCATTTTATAATTTAATTTAATTAAAAAAAAATCAGAAAATAGTAAAACAGTTAAAATTGTAATATTTATTTGGTCTGTGTAATTAATATCCCAGATTTGGTAGCATTGTGAGAAACTTGATCCTATATATGTGGTAATGAAATCTGAGAGATTCGTCTTAATCAATAGCGGAACCAGGATTTTAAGTACGAGGGGGTCAAATGTATTAAAATCTTTATGAGGGGGGCCGACTAGTGTGAAAATTTGGACCGTTTTCAATATCAAGATAACTTATCAGGTTCACCCCCTCGTTATCCCCCAAAATATACCCAGAATTCCCTCCGAGATTACACGGTAAAATCCTTCACCGGGGGTTTAGCTCATATACCTCTACCGAAATGATAGATAGAGGGGCCCCCCAGCTACTAACACTCGAGCAAGCTGA